GGGGGTACAGGTATTGGGTAAATACACTCATTCCAAAAGGGAGAAATTGGCCAAAACGAAGGGGCTACAGGCCCCATGCAAGTCTAAAATTCAGCAGGGCAGTCAAATCTTGAAGCTCTAAAATGATCCCCTTTGACTCCATGTCCCATATCCAGGTCACACTGATGCAAGAGGTGGGTTCCCCTAGTCTTGGGCAGCTCCACCCCTGTGGTTTTGCAGGGTACAGCCCCACTTTTGGCTACTTTCAGGGCTGGCATTGAGTGTCTGCTGCTTTTCTAGGTGCACGGTGCAAGCTGTTGGTGGATCTACCATTCTGGGGTCTGGAGGATGGTAGCTGTCTTCTCACAGCTCCACTAGGCAGTGTCCCAGTGGGGACTCTGTGGGGTGGTTCCAACCCCACATTTCCCTTCCACGCTGCCCTAGTAGTGGTTCTCCATGAGGGCCCCACCCCTGTAGCCAACTTCTGCGTGAACATTCAGGAGTTTCCATACATCCTCTGAAATCTAGGCAGAGGTTTCCAAACCTCAATTCTTGACTTCTGTGCATCCACAGGCTTAACACCGCATGGAAGTTGCCAAGGCTTGGGGCTTGCACCCTCTGAAGCCACAACCTGAGCTGTACCTTGGCCCATTTTAGCCACAGCTGGAGCTGCTGGGATACAGAACACCAAGTTCCTAGGCTGCACAGAGCAGGGGGGCCCTGGACCCAGCCCAGGAAACCATTTTTGCCTCCTAGGCTTCTGGGCCTGTGATAGGAGGGGCTGCCATGAAGGTCTCTGACATGACCTGGAGACATTTTCCCCATTGTCTCGATGATTAGCATTTGGCTCCTTGTTACTTATGCAAATTTCTGCAGCCAGCATGAATTTCTCCCCAGAAAATGGGTTTTTCTTTTCCATTGCATCATTAGGCTGCAAATTTTCCAGACTTATACTCTGCTTCCTCTTGAATGCTTTGCAGCTTAGAAATTTCTTACCCCAGATACCCTAAATCATCCCTCTGAAGTTCTAAGTTACACAGTTCTCTATGGCAAGGACAAAATGCCATCAGTCTCTTTGCTGAAACATAACAAGAGTCACTTTTGCTCCAGTTCCCAAGAAGTTCCTCATCTCCATCTGAGACCACCTCAGCCTGGACTTTATTGTCTATATCGCTGTCAGCATTTTGGTCACAGCCATTCAACAAGTCTCTAGGAAGTTCCCAACTTCCCCACATCTTCCTGTCTTCTTCTGGGCCCTCAAAACTGTTGCAACCTTTGCCTGTAAACCAGTTCCAAAGTCACTTCCACATTTTTGGATACCCTTACAGTAGCACCCCACTACCCAGTACCAATTTACTGTGTTAGTCCATTCTCATGCTGCTAATAAAGACATTCCCAAGACTGGGTAATTTATAATGGAAAGAGGTTTAATGGACTCACAGTTCCACATGGCTGGGGAGGCCTCATAATCATGGCAGAAGGTAAAGGAAGAGCAAAGTCACGTCTTACATGGCGGCTGGCCAGAGAGCTTGTGTAGGGGAATTTTCCTTTATAAAACCATCAGATGTTGTGGGACTTACTCACTATCACGAGAATAGCATGGGAAAGACCCACCCCCATGATTCAATTACCTACTACTGGGTCCCTCCCAGGACATGTGGGACTTACGGGAGATACAATTCAAGAGGAGACTTGGGTAGAGACACAGCCAAACTATATCACTCCCTAACCCATAATAAATAATAAGTGTAGCCATGGTTGTTGCTGTTTTTATTTTGGGGAGGAGGAAACATGATCAGAGAGGTTCAGTGAATTGCCCAGGGTCACACAGGGAATTGGTGGAACAGCCAAGTCTGATTCTCAGATTTCCAAACTGAGAGTCTCTGGGAACTGCAGGGGCCGCGATGAGGTTGCAGAATGTGTTAACAGTGAAAGCCCTCACAGGACTCAGGTCAGTACCCAGCACTTCAGGCAGGGGCTCTGCACAGCCTCAAGTGCTGCTGCGTTAAGGTGAACTGTAGAGTCAGATGCACCTGGGTTATTGGTACAGCTCCCTGCTCTACCCTTTGCTAGCTGTAGCACTTGGAGTTAGGCACTTTGTGTCTCTGAGCTTCAGTTTTCTCATCTGTAAAATGGAATTAACAAATTAGTACTCATCTCAGAGGTATGTGAAATAATTCCTGGACAGAGTATTGTAGAATGCCTGGCACAGAGTAAATGCTTAATAAGTGGCAGTTGATATTACTTCAATTACTTGATATTACTTCAATGTATAGATGTGGCAAACTGCTAACTTAGTGAAGAGGAAAATACAAGTGTAGTACTCCTTGCAGATAGGACAGAAAGAGGCATTTGAAGAGCTTGCAAAATGTTCACCCCATTTAGATTTACTGGGTCTACAATCTGCTAGATATTCCTTGTCCCTACAGATATTGCCGGTCTGTGCTCACATGGCATTTATACGATAGCTTGGGAAACAGATGGGAAATACCAATTATAAAATTTTTTCATTTCTTTTGTCATCAGCATTGTGGAGAATTGCAAGGCTCTTGTGCCATAGATACTTAGGTAGAAGTTTAGCTAGCCGAACAAGATTTGAAACACCTCAGATGATGACCCTGAATTACAGACAGCTGTCCTGCTACCTACTTATGTTCAAAACCCTGCATAAATACCCATATCTATTACCAGTATACTGGTTTTTACTTAATCCTATACCCTTAGTTAATTTTCTTCCCAGGTGTTTTGGCCTTTTGGATTTTTTTTTTTTTTTTTTGGATGGCATCTCGCTGTGTCATCCAGACTGGTATGTAGTGGTGCAATCTCCACTCACTGCAACCTCCATCCCCCATGTTCAAGCGATTCTCCTGTCTTAGCTTTCCAAGTAGCTGAGATTACAGGTGTGCATCACCACGCCCGGCTACTTTTTTCTGTTTTTAGTAGAGACAGAGGTTTCACCATGTTGGCCCAGCTGGTCTCTAACTCCTGACCTCCAGTGATCCACCTGCCTCAGCCTTCCAAAGTGCTGGAATTATAAGCATGAGCCACTGCACCCAGCCCCTTTTGAATTTTATATGTCACATCTCTTTTATCTGTATCAGAATTCTTCTCCTTATCACCCCTAACTGCATATTTATTTTTATTGTTTTGACTTCCTTATATTAAACACAAGTAGAAAATTTTCAGATCATGCATGGAATTTGAACAGCACCATTTCATAAGCCCTCTGGCATCAATATATTTGCCAGATCTTGATATAATAACTATACAGTTACCTTTTACCTCTGGTCAGCACTTGTACAGTGATTTAAAGCACCTAATCATGGGGTTATACTACTTGGAGATTTTTTTATATCTCTTAAAGTATATATCGTAAGTTTTTATTTTTATGGGAACCGTCTTAAATTCTCTCTGTTCCATAGTTTCTATTGGTGAAATGCTAATGACACCCATATTTCTATGTTGCATTATAATACCAGAGGGCTAGTAACACAATCATCTTGAACTCATAGGGATGAAGGAACTGTGTGCATAGTTGAAGGTTCTTATTTCTGATCTTTAGCGTTTAATTAGGTCTTTTAAAATGTAAAGTACTCCCAGTCATCTTTTACTAGTTTTTTCTCATGACTTCCCTTGAGATGTCAACATTATTCCCCTCGCTTTACCTTAGTATTCTCAAGAGGTCAGGTGGTTTTTAAATTTAATTTTTTTCCTGTTTGTAATTAAGCTTTTTTTTTTTTTTTTTTTTTTTTTTTTCCTTGATCATGTGCTTAACTTTAACCTGTATCCACCAAAATGACTGCTCAGATCAGATGTAGCCCTCCTCACCAGGGGAGAGCAATTACTGAACAAAGCCACAGTTTGGAAGAACCTTCAAGCACTTGCCATTATAAAGGCAGGTCTGAGTGCCCAGCCCTAGAAGGAATCAGACAGAAACTAATTAATAAAACAGGAGCCACAGAGTAGATGAAAATCAGGCAGCTGGCTGAAGAACAACTGTATATTCTCTTCTCCCTTCTGGCTTAGCATTCATGAGAATTTTGGGTGGGGGCAGGTCTGCAAAATGCATTTGCTAAGATTTTTCCGTGCTTATCAATGTTGAGGATCAGGAAGGGAGGAGGCGGCTCCCAGCAGTGCAGCAGATGGCTACCATCCTGTGAAGGCTTTACTGGCCTGGTGGATAAGCTTTTTCCTTGCTGTTTATTTTGTTAAGTTATTAATTTTTCCTTACCTTTCTCTTCTGACCCCCCGATCAGATCAGTTATACAAGTTTTTGCCTCAGATCATTCTGAAACTAGTTGGAAGGTAATGGAGTAGCATCATTAGGCCTGGCAGGTTTCTGAAGCATTAATAATCCAAAGTTGTATGTTCCTTACTTGATTAATGTGCACATGAACCATGATTGACCTGTGGTCTTGTGACTGGACTGGAATGTGTAATTTTAAAACCAAAGACTAATTAAAGATAGGTATTTCCGTTGGAATTTTTTAATTGGACTTTTGAAGGCCTTGTCCATTTTCAGAATTCCTTGTGGTGGAATTCTTACAGAGGTATTAAGAAGATCTTAAATCGTTATCTGGCATCCTGTTTGTCAAAACTTTCAGCCAGAGAAGAACATTTCCAAAGCCTACTGTTTCAGTTAATGACATCGCCTTCCTCAGAACATCATCTGGGTGCAACATGCTGCCACCTCCTGCAGTTGTTCGCTAGCCCTCACCCTGATTTCACCTGAGCACACTGGCCTTTTGTTCTCACTGGTAACCCTCTAGCCTAGAGCCACATCTCCCTTCCCTGGACCCTGGCCCATTTCCTCCTCCAGGGGAAGCCTCCTCTTTCCCAAGTACTGAGGTGGCCCCAACAGTTCCTTTCTGTAAACCTAAAAAGGCTTCTGTTGTCTGCAGAATGGAATTCAACTAGCCAGGCATCATGGTGCACGCCTGTAGTCCCAGCTACTCAGGATGCTGAGATAGGAGGATCTCTCGAGGTCGGGAAATCAAGGTTGCAGTGAGCCGTGGTCACACCTCTACACTCTAGCCTGGGCAACAGAGTGAGACCTTGTCTCGGAAAAAAAAAATGGGATTCAAACTTTATGGAAGGGGACAGAAGCCTTTCTCCAGGTTCACCCCAGGCTGTCTTTTCACCCCCAAGCACCAGCTCTGTGCTTCTCTTTGCACACCAGCCATGGCGGACTCCCCATGTTAGCTGCCCAGCACAGCCTTCTCTGCCTCTGATCCATTGATTCGTGGTTCACCCTCACCAGTGATAACCCTCCTCTCAGCCTACCTAGATCCTCCCATGGGCCCTGTAACACTAAAGCTCACTCTCCCATGAACTCTTCCTGATCTGCCCTGTCAGAATCAGTCTCCCTACCCCTCACCTTGGTGTTCCCACTGCACTTTGTTTATACCAACATCAAAAGAGTAACTTTATTTTCATCTTTTTTTTGCCTTTTCCTTTTGACATCTGTGGAAGCCTCTTTCTCATTTGTAAGCTCTGGAAAGCAGGACCTCTGTCTCATTTGGGTTTGTATCTTTCATTCCATAACCAGCACTTTTTAGGAGATATATTATTGTTAAAATGGCAGCATTAATGTCATGCAGAACAGTGACTCTTAAACACTGCAGAGCCCTGGGTAAAGTAATTTGTGCCCATCACAATTTTACTAAATTGGATATATTTTAGGGTGTTCAGAATAATCCATAGATTCAACAAAATATTTATTGAGCATCTACTATGTTCTGGATTCTCGTAGGGGCACCCTAGAAGACAGAGGGCCTCAGTTCTCATAGAACTTTACATTCTGTGGGAAGGAGATCATTCTGAAACTAGTTGGAAGGTAATGGAGTAGCATCATTAGTAAATAGTTATACAAGTTTTTGCCTCAGATCATTCTGAGTAAATAGTTTTAGATAGACAGTAAAATGTTCCATGAAGAAAACAAAGCAACATTTAGGGTACAAGCAGCTCTGTTAGATAGGGTGATCAGAGAAGCCTCTCTGAGGACTTGTGAGCAGACCTAAATATTGAGAAAGATGCTGCTAGAAAAGGACCTAGTGCACGATGTGTCACACTGAAGTGAGAACAGGAGGCACTAATGAGGTCAGCATCTTCAAGGAAAGGAAAGAAAGTCTGTGCAGTTGGAGCATAGAATGCCAGTGGCAGAAGAGTAGGAGACTGTGACCAGGTCATGGAGGTGAACATGGGAAGTCTGTACTGAAATATCAGTAACTGATGTCTACCACGTTGTGAAACTGTTTGTCATGAAGGGTTGTGAGTACACTAAAGAATAGAATTGACTGCATTTGGTTTTATGACCACTTTCAATCCAAATGGGAGTGTTCTGCACTCAGAAAACAATAGAATCACAAGGTCACCGTTAGATGCATTGAGGGAGTGCTGGCACGTTCATTCTTCATGAATTTTCTTGAAAGCACAACCGTGGCAGTTGCATAATGGAACCTTGGGAACTCATCAGTCATCCTCTGCCCCATTTTGCTCAGTTTCCCTAGTATTTCTCACTCTTCTCCATACCGTCAAGCCACTGAGACAGTCACTTGCTGAACCTCGTCTTCACTTGTCACACTGACCAATTCTGCATGAGTGCTCTGATTCGTTTCATTGGCAGTCTCATGCACTCACACAGGTGTCCAGAAGAACTTACAAAACTCTTTGTAACCCCGTGCTTTTTGAGAGATCTAATCATGGTATGTGGAAATGTGATACGCTAGTTGAATCTCTAAACTCTGGAGTGTGAAGAAAAGTCTACTCAAGAAATGACATCTGTGGAGTGCCCATACGGCACCAGGTGTTTTGTTGGACATTTTTTGCACATTATCCCACGCAGTCTTCATGCAGGCTTATTATCAGCTCCACTGTTAGATGAAGCAGCAGGCTCAGAGTCTTTAACACATGTGGTAAACACACAGTCCAAAATCACACAACTGGTAAGTGGACACCAAAGTCCATTCCCTTTCCATTTAAGACTATGTTTTAGTGGTTAAGAGTACGGGCTCCTGGGGCCACACTGCCATCGGGTGTGAATCCAGGTAAGTTTGGGCAAGTTTATTTACTGTCTCTGTGCTTTATTTTTCTCAGCTGAAAAACAGGATCTAATAGTACTTTCCTGGTAAGATTATTAAAAGGATTAATTGGCTAACATATACATAAAGCACTTAGCATGCTGCCTGGCCCCAGCAGTAAGCACTAGGTATGGGTTTGTCTTTATTATTTCCACTGTACTATGCTGCCTTTTTAAAAACCTTAGCATTCCTGTAACATAGCACAACACACAGCCAGACAGAAGAGAAAAGTGAAGTCTAGAGAAGTGTCTTGACCAAGATCACATAACCACTTAAGGGCTGAGGCAAGACGCCTTCACTGTATATTCCTGTCCCCCATATTTTTTTCTTTCTTTATGCATGTACACTGACTTCACACTCATAGCCTCTCTGCCATACAAGCTCTTTATCCTGCCTAGTCCCAGCCTCTGCTGCTCCCGCTCCCCTCCCATCTCCACATTCTTCCATGTTGAAGTCTACTTACATGGTGCAGTGACTGCAGCTGTGGGTGCCTGGCTGGGAAAGAGAAATGGTAGGGCTCTTGATTGTTTGCAGTCTTCATGCCTAACCACAGCTCTGAGCGTCTGTGTTGACTTGAGCGCACGTGTTGGGGTTTGTGTGTGTGTGTGTGTGTGCACACGCCCAGTGCCTTTAAGGACCTGTGTGCTTCCTGTTCCATTTCTCTCCCTATTTTTTCTTTCTTTCTTTTTTTTTTTTTTTTTTTTTTGAGATGGAGTCTCACTCTGTCACACAGGCTAGAGTGCAGTGGCGTGATCTTGGCTTACTGCCAGCTCCGCCTCCCAGGTTCACGCCATTCTCCTGCCTCAGCCTCCCAAGTAGCTGGGACTACAGGTGCCCACCACCACGCCCGGCTTATGTTTTTGTATTTTTAGTAGACACGGGGTTTCACCGTGTTAGCCAGGATGGTCTCGATCTCCTGACCTCGTGATCCGCCCGTCACAGCCTCCCAAAGTGCTGGGATTACAGGCATGAGCCACCGCACCTGGCCTCTCTCCCTCTTACATGGAAGGAGCTGGGTATCTTAGTTTTTGCTTATTTTGTTTTGTTTTTGGGAGAAGGGTCATTGGAGCCTTGAAAGAAATACGGGGAGGGCCACAGAAGAAGAGGGAAAGAGAAGTGGGACCCCTCAAAGGCACTGAGCTCATGTACTTTAAGTACCTACAAGATTTGCAGTGGGGGAGGTAGGGCATCGTTTGCTACATAAAGGAGTTTTTCCCCATATATATATTTTTTAAGTATAGGGCTAATAAAGCAGTATTAAGCCATGCTGCAGTGTGCAATTTTACAGAAGAGATTTTGGGAGATTCCTTTAGAGTGCTCTCTAATTTTCTGATGCATGGGGGGGTGGGGGGGAAATGCCTCTTCCTACCAAATTTGAATCAATTCTTTTCAAAAAGGCTCTAATCATTTTCAAGAATTAACAATAATGCCTTACATTTGAAACGTTTTTTGTGTTTCTCAAAGCACTGCCAATTACATTATCTTATTTAGCCTCCACATTAACCTTTTCAGGTGGGCAGAGCAGACATTACTGTCCCCATGTTACATCAGGAGAAATTTGAAGCCCAGGAACTGAAGGGAAAGTAGCTAAATGACACAGCTATGACTAGACCCAGGCCTTACCTTTTCATTCTACTACAGCATATTGACTTTTTGGTTTTGTTAGCTCAAAATTAGGGAGAATGATACTTGCATTTGGATCAGTAACAGTGATGCATACTTCTTACAGGTCCAGTTATCTTTTGACTGCCACATATGGACCCCAAAAGATCTCAAAAGGAAACTGTCCTCATTACAGGAGGAGGTGGCTATTTCGGTTTTCGGTAAGTGTGTCTATAAAATATACACGTGGAATTATTTTACTAGTAGTTGCCAGAAGCTTTCAACTCTGACAACAGAGTAGACTTTTACTTGTTTATATAATGTCAAACTAGAAATGAACTGTGTTGCCCACTGCTCAGATACTGCAGTTGAGAACTACAGGTATATTTCACTTTAAGAAAAATTCTTTATAAAGCTGTGAAATTGGGAGGGATGACTATTCACATCACCAAAAACAATTTTAAATCACAGCTGTTCTTTCACAGTTATGTTATTATTCTCAAATATTCCAAAGAATAGATAGTGGGCCCTAGAACCAAAGGGAAAAAATGCCACCATTCTTTGAAGATAAAGCCTCTCTCTTTGTAATTTAAGTAGATGAGAGGATTCTCACTTTTGAAAATTTGAAGAAGTGAACCTTGCACCAAGGAACACGCATAGTGAGGGGCTCAGGATGAGCCAAGAAGACTTGGATCAGCCCCACCTTGATTGGTAAATTACTTTATACACTTCCCCTACGCACAGCTTAAGAGCAACTTGATGCAACGTTTTCCGTTTCTCGTTTCAGCCTGGGCTGTGCTCTGAACCAAAAGGGAGTCCACGTGATTCTGTTTGACATCAGCAGCCCTGCTGAAACCATTCCAGAAGGAATCAAGTTTATACAAGGAGACATCCGCCACCTCTCTGACATAGAGAAAGCCTTCCAGGATGCAGACATCACTTGTGTGTTCCATATTGCCTCTTATGGTATGTCAGGGCGGGAGCAACTCAATCGAAACCTGATCGAAGAAGTCAACATCGGGGGCACAGACAACATCCTCCAGGCTTGCCAAAGAAGAAGGGTGCCCAGGTTAGTTTACACCAGCACTTTCAATGTCATCTTTGGAGGTCAAGTTATCAGAAATGGGGATGAATCTCTGCCCTACCTGCCTCTTCACCTCCACCCTGATCACTACTCTCGGACAAAGTCTATTGCAGAAAAGAAGGTGCTGGAGGCGAATGGTACACCCCTGGACAGAGGCAACGGTGTCTTAAGAACCTGCGCTCTGAGGCCAGCTGGCATCTATGGGCCTGGAGAACAAAGACACCTTCCCAGAATAGTCAGCTACATCGAGAAGGGTCTGTTCAAGTTTGTCTACGGGGACCCCAGGAGCCTGGTTGAGTTTGTCCACGTGGATAACTTGGTGCAGGCTCACATTCTGGCCTCAGAAGCCCTGAGAGCTGACAAGGGCCATATTGCCTCTGGGCAGCCCTACTTCATCTCAGATGGCAGACCCGTGAACAACTTTGAGTTCTTCCGGCCTCTGGTTGAGGGCCTGGGCTACACGTTCCCATCTACCCGCCTGCCATTGACCTTGGTCTACTGCTTTGCTTTTCTAACAGAGATGGTTCACTTCATTTTGGGTCGACTCTACAACTTCCAGCCCTTCCTCACTCGCACTGAAGTTTACAAAACTGGTGTCACACATTATTTTAGCTTAGAGAAAGCCAAGAAAGAGCTAGGTTATAAGGCTCAGCCATTTGACCTCCAGGAAGCAGTGGAATGGTTTAAAGCCCATGGTCATGGCAGAAGTTCTGGAAGTCGTGACTCAGAGTGTTTTATTTGGGATGGGCTATTGGTCTTCCTCCTGATTATAGCAGTTCTCATCTGGCTGCCTTCTTCTGTGATTCTGTCACTGTGAAGGAGGGGCCAGAAATAAGGTGATCACAGTTGGCTGAGATGGTTCTCAAGAAACATGGGTTTTCAAATGTGTACAGTGGTATCTGTTGCCAAACATTGGCTCTTCAAATTGCTGCTTACGAATAGGTTCTTGGATTGAATCTTTATTTCTTACTTCCTTGCACTAAGCCAGATGGGAATGAAAAGAAAGAAGCAGAGATTAGTTTGAAATTTCATTTCTTATGTCCTTCTGTTTTAGGTGGGTACAATAGAAGTCAGTTTGGAGCCATAGAAGTAGGCTTAGTTGGGTTGGAGATGTCTGTCTTGAATTTCTTAGAAGGCAAGATATACTTATTTCCGTTTTATGCACTCTGCATCTACCTAAAACCTCTGATTGATGTGGGAATGACAAAACACTATCAGGCTTGAAAGCATGTGAAAAACGCCAAATTGGCCCAGATCCCTAACAGAGCAATCCTCGAGGGGATGGTAGCTATTGCTGGAGAGGCATTAGCTATTCACAGTGTCCATTTTAGGTGTTAACTTTCGCCCTTTGTGATATCGGGGCACTATGCCTATGTGAACATATGGTAATGTTTGATGTTTAGGCCTTTATCCTACCTCATAGGATTCTTTTGAGGATTAAATTAAAGCATACAAAGTGCTCCTTAACACACATAGCCATTCTTTTTATCAGAATTGTCATGGTACGTTCCTTATGAGGGCTTTCTTCCTCAGTGTTCTCTTTAGAGGGCTGTTGCTACTGGACTTTCTGGAATGTCTGGGTGTGCCCTCAGACCCTGAAACAAGTGTATTTGGATATACTCTAAAGTTTTGGCCTCCAAGAAGGCGAAAAGGAAGCAACTAAAAATCTGATGATTAAGGGAGTCAATCAAGCTAATGCCATTTTTACTTTAAAAAATGAAGCATAGCTCTAAACTCATAGACTGGTTTTCTTACTGGGAAGAAGTTTGGCTCTCTGAAGACAGCTTCCAGTGAGGAATGTTGAACAGTGGCAGCACTGTCTGGCCACCCACGAACTGTTACCGATGATCCAGTTACACTGTTGCATAGGAATCCAAGTGGAAAGAAGACAGAGTCTATGTCTGTCCATGGCTCCAGCTACAGAAAGGATAACATGAGAACATTACAAGGGGGACACATTACTGTGGAAAGTTCTGCTAGAGTTACTCTGAGAGTATCTACAAATAGATGAGAAATCCCTGTTGAATGCTGCCTGGATGTTTTCAGAAAAGCTCTGAACTTGATGTCAGAACACCGACACCATGAATATCATGTGTGGCCTTAACCAAGGAACAGAAGCCCTTTAGAACTTAGCTTCCTCACTTGGGACCTGGGACTGACTGCATTTGCCCTTTCTATAAACCCACCCACCTCATAGGGTTCATTGGGAGCATAAAGCAAGATGTGGTGAAAGTACTTTTAATATAAATTGCAACGTCAATATGAGGTGATGGTAGTGGTTGTTTTTAGGAAAATGTGTTTGGAGTCTTTTCTATCATAAAGAAGCTTTTGCATTAGCCTGAGGTTAACGCATATGAGCACCTGCCGTGTATTGTTCCAGAACTGCTTGAATATCCTCATCAAGTGACAAGTGGTTTCCCCAGAGCAGGTCATCCAAGACAGCAGGGTGGAAGCTGCATTGTCCTTTATGACTTGGCCTCAAATGTCACAGTGTCATTCCACAGTATATTGGTTATGCAAGTCAATCCTATCTGGTAGGGGAAGGAAATACACAAAGGTATTTCCGTATTATACCAGAAGATGGAGATGGTCAAAGGCAATCTTGGAGGCTGGGCTCTTGGCCTCATATGAGTCATCTTTCCTTTTCCATGAAAGGTTGCCCACATTTCCAGCTACATAGTTTTCTCTGCCTGCTTCCTGCCAGAAGGATTTTAGGGGCCAAATGGCTGTGTTAACATTTTGCACTATATTCCTTTCCATTCAAGCTGGCAGTGGTGCTGGGAACATTATTTTGAATGTGTCACCTGAGTTTTATTGCAGTTCACTCACAAAAGCCACACCTACAAATCTCTGAGGTAAGTCCTCCACCGTGAGCTGCCAAGGGACAATATGCTGTGCTTCTTAGAAGCCTTATTGTCTGAACAGTTCTCTGGGGTGCCACATCAGGCCTTTCTGAGATCTTAAAAAGATACTATATTCAAGCCACAGCCATGCATTGTCATTTCCACAATCTCATGTATTTACACAGGTTAGCCATATTCAGTGTGGGAGGAGACTACACAAGGACATGAATACCAGGAGGTGGTGTCATTGGAGGCCAACGTGGAATCTGGCTGCCACTTTCCTGCTTCCGTATCTCCCCAGTTCTGTTACTGTCTCCCACTGCAGCTTGAAATGGTAGATTTTCTCTGCTCATTCCTCAGCCCTGTTCTAATACCATACTTTCTCCCTAGGTGAGCTCACCTAAGCCCATGGCCTCCATTTCCATCTCTAACCCAAATATGTACTACTAGAGGCACAGTTTCAGACCATTCTTGGGCTCCAGACTCATATCTAGTACTTCTGCAACTCCACGTGGATGTCCCACATGCACTTGTCAGCCAGTGTAGCCAAAGTAGAATTCATAATCCTCTCCCACCCCAAATTCTTATAGGGCTCCCTTCCTTAGTAAATATCTCCACTACCCACTGAATTTCCCATCCCAGAGATCTGGGATCATCCCTGACCCCTGCCTCTCCTAAACTTGACATACCTAACCCATGTTTAAACCACTTGATTTTTACTTGTAATCATGCCCTAAAACAGCCCAAGGTATAAGTGTACCTTCCCTCCCATAGATTCAATAGTAGCCCATTTGCTCTTCCACCCACATCCACACCCACCTTCAGTCCATTCTCCACATGTCTAGCCGAGAAAGCCTATAAAGGTGCAAATCTTTTGTCACTTCTCTGCTGAAAACTCTGGTTAGGTTGAGAATCTTTAACATGACCAAGAGGCCTTGTCTGAACTGGCCCCTTGCCTATCTCTCTACCTTCATCTCACATTATTCTGCATTCTCTGCCCCAATTACACTGACCTTTTGTAGGTTCCTGGGCTCCAAGCTTCTCAGGATCCCTGCTCCTCCTTTTGGCCTGAATGATGTTTATTTCGTGTCTCTTGTTAAGTCTTCTAGAGGCCTTCCCTGATCCCAGCAATTTAGGATTGGTCCTCCTGCTACAAATGATGCTACAAGCTCTGATAGCTTCCTGCCTTTCTTTTACAGCATTGCTCATAACTGTAAACATTTGTACAATTATTTGATTAATGCCTGTTAGCTCTATGAGGGTGAGAACTTTGTCTTGCTTACTGCTCTACTAATGCCTGGCACAGTGCAGGAGTTCAATGAGTATTTGTCCAATGAATGCTGTTTTCCCATCTGCTATGGATGAACACTCTTTTCTAGCACACAGATAACTCACTGTTTCTAATCTTTTGGAGAGTGGGGAAAATAGCCAACCTACACTAGAATTGTGGTAACTAAGTCAAGATTAGATGAGGTCTAGTAAGTAAGGGAAGTCATTGCCTATATGATCTGGTGGAGTATTAATGCTATAAGATGGTCAGGGAATGGGGGAGGAATGTGGGCCAAATGATTTGTGCTCCCTCCCGGTCTCAGCTGAAAACTCACCACTTTAAAAGACTTAGTCTGTTTCCTGAAAGGGAGCTCCCCTTCCCTTCTATGGTCAGGAGATGCAGCAGTTAAGAAATTTCATTAGTTCTAGGGTTCCCAGCTGCCCTCACCTTGCCTCAACCTTGGATTGAATCACTCTGCCCTGCCTAACACAATAAAAGTATGTTCATACTTGTGTACCTGGGGATGCTCGCAGAGGCCTGGGCAGAAGCCACCCGTCACTGCTACCTCACCCGTGGCTTCTGAGGAGTGTGTGGGAAGTTATCCATATGGTTGATGGAGGGTCACAATGGAGGAAGGATGTGTGAGCAACAAGGAGCCCTGTATTGGAACCTAAAGGTAATGCCCAAACTGCTCCCACCTGCAAAAAGAAAAGAGGGGTCTGGAAAGCCTGTTGGAAATACTTGTTGGACGTCCTCAGTGCTGTGTCCGGTGACAGGGGCAGAAAGTGCCACATTATGAGCAGTAACAGTTAGTGGAGGGTCAAACAGCTCATTCTGGCACCAAGTTACCTATGCTGTGGTGTTTCTCAAGCCTAGGGAATAGGCCTAGGGATTCTTTTCAAGAAAATGTTTTATTTTCCTCAACCACCTAGCATGGTGTATAAAAGAGGCAAGTGTTGCTTTGTCGTAGATTGTTGGGGCTGCTTCTACCTTGTATTGCTCTCCAAATCTCCGGTTCACGCAGCCTTACAAAGACAGGGTAGAAGTTGCCTGCAGAATGCCATGCCCCAGCTCTGACCCAATTAGACATCATTATAGGGACACTGGTGCCCCTGCTGGCTGCCCTTGGAAGCCAGCACCAGCAATGTTATTAAAATTTTCCCCAGCATCTCTTGCTTTAGAGATGGCACGCCAGGTTGTGTGCTGTTCACCAGCATCTCTCACTTTAGAGAATGATACCCCATGCTCCTTTTTGATGACAAAAAGTCCCTCCCAGCCCTTTCATGGGGCTGACCTCCATATGCAGGCCTGACCACTCACAAGAGTTTCAGCCTTCTGGCCGCAGTCATTGGGCCACGATGGGCCAGTCAGCGTCGTCTTTTCAGCCTTTCTCCCAGAGCAGGTTAAGAGAAACCCTTTCTGCTAGAATTGCTTCAGAGGACAGGCGCTTGGTGCTGCTCCTCTTCAGGGTCCTCCTACCTGAAGGAGAGGACCGAGCGCTGATAATATTTGGGCTGCTGGGTCCAGCTGTGTGTTAAGAAGAGCTAAGAAATGGAGAGGGACGAGGTCCTGGTGACTACCCGGGTTTTGTAACGCTGCCTGCTGGACGCTCGTCTTTCCAGGTCGTCCTCTCACGTGAGTCTCAGTTCACTTTCTTTTCTGCTTAAGGCCCTTTAAGTTCAATTTTTCTCCAGGAATCACAGCATGTCCTGGTGTGCCATGTCCACAGGCCACTCCTGGGTACAGGTGATCCTACCCTGTGGTTTCCCAAGGCAGCCTCTCCACTCACCTCTGTGCCCTCTTTCTTTCAAAGAAGGGGGGTCGTCTTCTGGTCCCTGGGTAATTTAACATTTGCCGGAGTTTTTCTTACAAAATGAGATTGATTTCCTTTTCTAGAATCATGTTTATTTGAATTATGTTTACTCAAATCACGTATATTTGGACCCAACATACCTTTAAGTAATGTAGTTCAAACTCTTGTTTTATATGAAAATTGTTTGATGAAGTGATTTGCTCCCCAGAACATAAACGCCCCATAAGAGGAGGAACCATGTCTGTTTTTTCTACTTCTATACCCTTCGTTTGCCCAGTAAATGCTTGTTGACTGCATTCAAATGCTTGTTGAATGCACTTATCAGCCAGGTGGTCTCTTATCTGAGAATTCAGCTGATTCCCCAGTTGTTGCTTCCTTTACACCTGAGACTCCCAGCCTGAGCCAATAAGAACATTCAAGGCCTAAATTAAAAATGCAGACTCCAGAAGGGTGACATCATGTAAAGTGGCCCTTTCACTGTAACAACCGGAAAAGCAGGGGGACAGGAGAATGATCGGAACCAATGATTTCAGGAACTCCTTACGTCTATTTTACCTCGATACACGTACACAGACTCCAAACTCTTCGCTGGTGCTTCTGATTGAGAAAGTCTGTGTTGGCTGGTAATCTGCACTCTAGGTGTTTCTTATCTTTCAACAAGGAGGTGAACACTGCTGCCAGATACTAAACACTGGCTCCCTTGTAAGATGCTGAGAGGCTCCTGACTTCTGCTTGGCTCTTCGCTTTGCAGTGCTTTGCTATAGCAGGTGCTCAGCACATCATTGCTGAATGAATGAAGGGGGAGATGGGACTCGCCAAAGGGCCTTGGATTCAAGCGACCCCCCGCCTACTCCTTTATGCAGGGCCCGGTTCGTTGGTGACACTGACAAGCACTGCCACATCCCAGCGCTGACTTTTCCAGCCAAACTAGAGTCTCTTTTTCTTGAGCCAAAGGGATTCTTTGGCAACGCATCTTGTTGTGCCTGGTTACCTGATCTTTTAGTACAAAACAGCCTTTTGCTATTGAAAATCAAACCAGAAATAGAGTCAACCAGTCCATGGTATCTCTAAGCTGTGCAAATTCATACCATGTCACCCTTCTGTACATTAGAACCTGGGCACACCAGGAACTCATTGAACTCAAGTTGAGTTCATAATTGCTTGAGTTCATAGAACTGAGTTCATAATTACTTGAGTTCATTGAACTCAAGTAATTATGATCGAGGCCAAATCTAGTTCACTACAAAGAAATTGCATGTAGCAAAATGATCCAGGCAAGTGTCTTTCAACCAACAGGGGATTTATCGACAGTAATTCACAATGTTTATTTTTAACAGCTGGTTAAAGCATGCAAGTAATTAAAAACTTCATTACTAATATGTGGGATTTTAATCCTGGCAAATATTCTACATATCTTTTTCTCTAGCTCCCAGTGGAGCCATGTTTCAGATCTAAGAGTAAAATATTGTCTTACCCATATATATATTTTTAAGATTTTGTTATGAGAATGAGTCGTCTTTTGCTCCTAACAGTCAGTAGGAGTTAGTGTCCTGAATAGCTAATAATGAGTCTGAAATGTTGCCCAGGTTTTAAGGGGAATTATTTGCACATTGCTGGGCAATTACAGCACCCCAGCTCCACTGATTTATAGTCCTGTGCCTTTCATAGGGGATTTAGCTTCTGGGAATGTTCACCATGAAGCTAATGATCAATATTAACCTGTCACCCTAGTTAACTAAATTACTCAAAGATGAACATTCTTAATAGTTAATTGCTACTGTTTGTTGAGAGTTTACGCTGTGTAAGGCTTTTTCTTTTGTTTTGTTTTGTTTTGTTTTGTTTTGAGACAGAGTTTTGATCTTGTTGCCCAGTCTGGAGTGCAGTGGCGTGATCTCAGCTCAGTGCAACCTCCGCCTCCTGGGTTCCAGCAATTCTCCTGCCTCAACCTCCTGAGTCACTAGGATTACAGGCGCCCACCACCACGACCGGCTAAGTTTTGTTTAACACGACGGGGTTTCTCCATGTTGGCCAGGCCGGTCTCAAACTCCTGACTTCAGGTGATCCACCCGAGACTTTCTATATTTCTCAGGCTTATTTAGCTTTCTCAGTGTCTTTAGGAAACAGATCCATTTATTATCTCTAGTTTACCTGGGAGGAAACTGAGGCTTAGGGAGATGCAGTACCTTGCCCAAGGGTACCCAGAGTCACCAGCTAGGAAGTGGCACAGCTTAAATTTGAGCCAGGTTTACTTGAATCCAAGACCCAATTTTTTTTTCTTTTTTTGAGAGAGTCTCCTCTGTCACCCAGGCTAGAGTACAGTGGCACAGTCATGGCTCACTGTTGCCTCGAACTCCTGGGCTCAAATGATTGTCCTACCTCAGCCTCCCAAGTAACTGGGACTACAGGTGCATGCCACCACATCCAGCTTTTATTTTTTGTAGAGATGGTGTTTCACTATGTTACCTAGG